AATAAACAGTGGGAGAAGCAATACTTTTTTATATGGAAGAATTCCAATGAATACCTGTGGAAGGGATGAGGGAAACAGAGCACCACCATCAGAATATCACAGTAATACTGTCCATGAATGCTAAGCTGGAGGATGAAAGTTTAAAGAGAGACATGATATTTGCATAGTTTCAAAGTATCTCCCTCAAAATATTTACCAATTTCTTTTTTTTATATTATTGTTTATTATAGAGATGGGGGGTACAATTCAGGGTTAGGTATATAAACATTGATCATGCAATTTACCAATTTCAAGGGAGAAAGTAATAACTTTATAGTGGAGAAACCCACAAGGCACCACCCGAACCTAAGTGATATAAGTTGACATCACTAGTAATAAGAATCATCCCCATTCTATAATCCCCCGATTTTATGCATTGAGAATAATCCTTCTATTATTCTTCCCAAAACTTCTAGTCTCAATCTAATCATGAGAAAACATCAGACAAACCCAAACTGAAGAATGCTCTACAAAACACCTGAGGTATCATGGGCATGAAAGACAAGGAATGACTGAGGAGCCAACCCAGACTTGGAAAACTAGGGGATAGGACAGCCAAGGCAGTGTGAGGTCCTAGGCTGGAGCCAGTACAGTAAAAGGGTCACAGTGGAAACGCTTGTGAAATCAAGGAATCTGCCATTAGCAGATTAGCAGTCCTGTAACAATGTTCATGGTTAGCAGTCCTGTAACAATGTTCATTTTCTGGATGTGACTGTTGTACCCAGGTCATGTTAAGGTGTTGATACTGAGAAGCTGGGTGAAGGAACGCTCTGTACTGCATCTGCAACTCATGTGTACTTCTAAAATTATTTTAATATGTTTTTAAAAATTTAAACTAGTTTCAATCCCAACTGCTCTCCAGAAATTACTGAAAACACAGTCAAATCTTCAAACACTATATCCAATGGCCTCTTTTCCACTCCTGTCCCTACATGACTTCAACACAGCATCTTTCCCCAAACATGCACTGCCCTCCCCTTGGCCACCCAGAAAGTTCCTCCAACGCTTCCTTCCTTGGGACCCCCTTCTCTTTCACTCTCTCTTTAAAAGCTTATCATCATGCAGTTTGTTCTGTTCTTCTTATTCCACATCTTCTCCTAGGAAAGCCAATATAATTCCCTGGTTTTAAAGACTGCCCAAACACTGGAGTCTCACAAGTCTTCAGCTTCAACTACCACCTCTACAGAGGGTAGGTTATTTCACTTGACTGCCTTTGACACCTAAAATTCAAATTGTTAAGCAGAGGAAAAATAAAACTCAGCATTTCCTCTTCCAAACTTACTGATGATGATGAAAGCACTATTCAACATACCAAAAACATGCTAAGCTCTTTAAATAGATTACTTTATATATTACAACCCTATCACTATGCCCATTTTACAAATGAGAAACCCAAGAATCTGAAAGCTTTAGCTAGTTGCTCAGAGTCACAGAGATAATTAAGGTCAGAGGGACCCACACTCAGGTCTGTCTCACTGATTCCAGGGTTTATACCCATAATTACAATATCATTCTGCCTTCTTATACTCCCAATTTCCACTAATGCATGTTCACTGATAAATTTAATTAATACACTTCTATTAATACACATCACCACCTTTCTTTCTTCTTTGCCCCACATCTGACTGGTTGCCACCTCCAGTTGATCCCTCATCATTTGTTCTACTACAGATCAGCCATGGTGCTAAGAACTGAGATACAAAGAGGAACACAAAGTTCTTGTCACCTTGGGAGCTTATAGAATAGCTGGGGAATGCAAACAAGTGGACTATGGGACAAGGTAGTAGCAACATGACTATTACATGCAAAGAGGGGAGTCCTTAAGACCACTGTTCTGAGGATGGTAGTCCCCAATATGTGAGAATTACAATTTTAGAGATTTGCCAACCATGACAGAAACCAACCGTAAAGTAATAGTGCCATTAGAAAAGGCTAAATGTGGAGACAAATTCAAGTTCTACACCATTTACATGTACACAGAAGGCACACGATGGCAACTGATGCTTATCATCGTAAATGTGAGTCTCACATAAAATACTGTTATTTTTATTAGCATTTGTAAGGCTGAAAACTATGCAACTCATTTTGGAATTTGTAGTGGCTAACATCAACCAAAAAAAAAAAAAAGAATAAAATTTGCTTTAAAACACAAATTTTGGAACGTTTAAAGAAAATTCCACAAATCTTAACATGTCCTTGGTTTCAAAATAACATGCCAACTCAATCCACCAGATTCACATACTCCATGGTTCTGAGCTGACTGTTTTTGGGTGATGTGTTTGGAAGTAGTCTCCTCCTTCCATGCTCTCAACTACCCTACAAAGAGTTATGGGGCCCTTCTGATGAAGCAAATGAACTTGGCTCCCAGGAAGCCTGAACCTAGGTCATCTGATGACCCACGGATAGCCCCTTCTTGGCACAGCAAGACCTCTGTGGTCGGCAGTGATCACTGAGGGTTCTTTAACACTGTCAGGGACCATATGCACTTCTTTCTGTGCTTTCTCCCATCTCTTCTTTGATCCATAAGTTCCTGTGCAAAAATGTTCATAGGAGAATTAATTGTAATGGAAATAAAACTAGAAACCACCCAAAAGCCCATCAACAGAAGAGTGGTAAATTACAAACATTTCCAAGTGGAACATTAACCTGACAGTGAATTAACTGAAGCAATGCACAAGAGCACAGATCAATTTTAAAACATGTAAGTTGAATTTTTAAAGTAAGCTGCATTAGATTTGATAACATTTGTATGAATCTTAAAAACAATCAAAACTAAACAATGTAATTTTGATACAAAAGTATGTGACAGAATTATTTTTTTAAAGTACAACAATAGTAATTACGGTATTAAAGGAAAAAGAGAAAAAATAAATAAAATTTTAAAATAACAATTACAGTTTCAAGAGGAAAGGTCTGTTGGGAAAACGGGATTGTGGATGGACCAAAAAATCCCTTCGACAGAATTCATTAGTCCTAGCGGTAGGTTGAGAATGTGCAGGCTCAACAGGGTTCACAGCTTGCATATGTTACATAATCCTTTTGTACACATTGCACCCAAACACACATGAGCACAAATTAAATACTAATGGGATCCTTTCTGCAAAAGCAAGACCAGTAAGACAAACCTCAAGGCCACATCCGTGCTTGCCAATCTTCAAAACTGTGTAACACAATGCAGGCTGAAATCATTCTCAATGAAACAACAGAAGAGCTAGGAGATCAAGATGTCCTTTCCTTTTACTGAATATTTATTTCTAGTTGAACACAGAGTAATACATATAACAGGAATACTGTAGTAAGAATATTTTAAAATAATATATAATTAAGTATAATAAAAACATATCTAAATACCTAACTCATGAGTCACTACCGTCAACATGGACACAATCACTTCTTGTTTCAGGAGATGAAGAACAATGCAGTGCATTTAGACAGTCTGTGACCAACCACCCTGTCTTCACCATGAACATGCCACATCTGAAATATCTGTGTCAAGAAAATTCATATCTCAAACACCAAAGAGAATTCTGAATTGAGTATTCATAAAATCCTTGCAACAGGGAAAATGAATAAATTAGAGCTGTATAAATCAGGATGGCTGCACTCACAAACATAACTTGGAATGGAAAGGGCAAACTGTGTTAAGATATGGAGAGTGATGCCATTCATAAGAAGCTTTAAAGGATGTACGGGTTACTCGATATTGTCTAAAATTACACATCCATGGTGCAAAAGGACACAGACATTATTGTGGATACTAAACCTAAACTCCAGCCACTAACTACCACAGGAAGAAAGGGAAGGCGACAGAGTCTAGACGAGTCCAATTCTATTCATGTTAAACTAGACAGTAGTTACATGTGGGATAAAATGCTTAACAGTGAAAAATAATAACATAATTTTTAGGAAAATCTATAGGCAAACTTTTTTTTTAAGTTAATGGTATTTTTATTGAAAAAACAAAAACAAAAGACTAGCATTTACAACTTGGAATGGACGTAAATTGCCATCTCTCAAGCAGCCATGTTGATGTTGTGCTGAAGTCCACAGCCTACTCTGCAGCTCCAAGTCAGGGGTCAGAAGGTTTTAAAAACAGGGTCCAAGATGCTCCCTTGGGAACGGTTTTAAAAATGTGTCAGCAGTGACAGCCTCACACCTGTTTCACTCTAGAAAGATGCTAAGCCAACATACATGGGCACCCCACCAGGATGTGTCACTGTCACTGTGGGCTAGCGCTCGCAGAAGTGCCAGAGGACCATCTTACCCGCGGGACCAGTCTCAAAGGTTTAGCCTCCATTCATTTTTCTGCACATCATCCTGAGGTAAACCAATTCTCAATGTTTGTTTTCAGGAAGCCAGCTACAACAATTTCTACTAAACAAATTGAGCGAGAACCCATTGGAGTAGGTTTTGAATCGTTTCTTCGGTTTTCATTTTTATTACAAATGCCCGACTGTGCTCGATCGTCAAGCTGCATGCATGAAAAACTGGCCAGCCCAAGACAGTGTGTTAATTGTCAGCAAATGGAGCCATAAGGGGTCCTTATCATTGAGGTGGGACAAGTATTTATATTGGAAATTGATGTGTAGCTTGATCTTGAGGGGACAGGACCACCAACCAATACATGCAGATTTTGAGTGTGTGAACAGGAGGTACTATTTTTTTTTTTGAGTCGGAGTCTCACTCTGTCACCCAGACTGGGGTGCAGTGGCACACTCCCAGCCACAACCGCAGCCTCGACCTGCTGGGCTCCAGCAATCCTTCCGCCTCAGCCTTCCAAGTAGCTGGAACTCCAGGTGCACGCTACCATGCCCGGCTAATTTTTTTTAAATTTATTGTAGAGATGAGGTCTCGCCAAGTTGCCCAGGCAGGTCTCGAACCCGCCAGCTCAGGCAATCCACTCACCTCAGCCTCCCAAAGTGCGGGATTACAGGCTGAGCCACGGAGCCTGGCTGAGGTGCTTTTGACATTCAGTTTTGCAGAATGAATAAATGAACTTTTTCTTTTTTTTTCTTTTTTACTGCAAGAGGCAGGTAAAAGATTCAATTTGATTCTTCTGGGGGGAAAAGGACTTGAAAGTAGGTCTTCATTTTACAGTCATCATCTGTACTAATACTTCATAGTTGACCTGTCCATCTCCATCAATATTTGCTTCTCTGATCATTTCATCTACTTCTTCATCTGTTAGCTTTTCTCCTAAGTTTGTCATGATGTGACGGAGTTCTGCTGCGCTGATGTAGCCATTGCCATCCTTGTCAGAGACTCGGAATGCCTCGCGGATTTCCTCTTCACTGTCTGTATCTTTCATTTTTCTAGCCATCATAGTCAAAACTTCTGGGAAGTCAGTGGTGCCATTACCATTAGCATCCACCTCTTTGATCATGTCCTGCAACTCGGCTTCTGTTGGGTTCTGACCCAGTGACCGCATGACAGTCCTCAGGTCCTTTGTTGTGATGGTATAGTCGCCATCTTTATCGAATAGCAAGAAAGCTTCCTTGAATTCAGCAATCTGTTCTTCGGTCAGCTGATCAGCCATGGTGCCTGCGGAGGGAGGAAGGACAGAGGGAGCAGGGGCTGTGACGGCAGGGGTGCCTCCGTGGCTGCCGCTGCTGCAGCCAAGGCGCAGTGTGCGCTGTCCGCTGTGTCGCCGCCGCCTGCGCCACCCGACTGTGAGTAACGACGCCACTTCCACGAGCCTCCCAGCACCACTGCTCAGGCAAACATTTAAAAAATAATTTTGGCGTGATGAAATCTCTGAGCATTTCACAAAACCCAAAATCTACATGGAAAGATACTGATAAACTTAATTACATATAATTTTAAAGGTCTGCATTGTGAAAAAAGTAAATAAAGTTAAATGAAAAATGGGGGAAATATTTGCAATCCACAGAGCAGACTAAGGTTAATAATTGCCTAGAACATAAACAACCATCATAAATCTATTAAAAATCTACAGAACCACCACCACAAAAGAACAATGGACAGAAGATATAAACAGGTGTTTGAAGTTTGAGAAATACAAATGGTCAGTAAGAACATAAAATGGGTTGACTCACAAGCAAAGAAACAATAAAAAGAATACCTTTTTCATCTATCAGAGGAAGTGGAGAAGTTAAAAATACCAAGTATCTGAGAGGGTGGAAAAACATCAAATCTCAAAAAATACTAGTATAAGTGTCCTCATAGGATATGTGCCTTTGATCCTGGATCTCAACTTCTAGGCATAAATTCAATTTGACAGCTGCGCTCAAAAAGGTGTTTAAACATAAACATCAAGATTATTACTGCAATGCTGTTTGCAAAATCAAACACTTGGAAACAATTTAAGTAGTTACTGTGGGGGCTTAATAAATAATTTTTGGCATCTATTTTTAAAACACACCCACAGAATGTAAATGTTAAAAAGAATAACTAGGGGTCTGGCACAAAGGCTCATGCCTGTAATCCCAGTACTTTGGGAGGCCAAAGCATGAGAATCATCTGAGACTGGGAGTTCCAGACCAGTGTGGGCAACATAGCAAGACCCTGTCTCTACAAAAAATAAAATTAGCCAGACGTGGTGGCATGCCCAGTTACTCAGGAAGCTAAGGTGGAAGGACTGCTTGAGGCCCAAAGTTCAAAGTTGCAGTGAGCTATGACCATACTACTGCACTCCAGTCTAGGTGACAGAGCAAGATCCTATCTTTATTATTTATTTATTCATTTATTTATTTAATAAATCAGAAAGATGTTCAAGTAAATTGAGTTCAAAAAAGGAGGTTGTAGAACATTACATATAAGAACATGATCCCACTACATTTAAAACTTACATATTATCTAGAAACTTTTATTTGTAAATATATTTGTCAATCTAACAGTCTATCTGATAAAGTTACTGAAAAGATAATAAGAAATAGTAGAGATTACCACTAGGGAATAGAACAAGGGCTTGGAGAGAAGAGAAGGAAAGGGAAGAATTGTTATTGTTCATTTTACACTTACCTGTATCATTTGAAAAAAATTAATGAATTTTTATAATAAAATATTTTTACATGAGTTAAAAGAAAATCTTAAGAGTCCCTCATCTTCAAATATATAATACAACAAAGAATTTACTCCCCATTACTTGTGTTTGTGAAGTCAAAGGAAGTTCCCTGTCAGCAGCACAACCTGCAAGGCATAGGGAAGGCAGGCAAACTTTTGCCCTTGGCTTAATAACCATATATATATATATATATATATATATATATATATATATATGAACAAATTGGATAATAATGGGGACTTGTTCTTTCTCAGTTGGCACTAACTTTCTAGCAGCAATTTCCTTCTGGCTATCTTAAGTCTGTAAATAAATAATGAAGTACAGTTGGCTGTGTTCTCCATCATTCACCTTTCCAGTGTATTAACCAAAGTATTTAATCCTCTTCCCAAGTGCATTTCGTGTCTACAAGTGACTACCAAAATAAGTTCAGGTACCTGCTGGAGAGATTCAGCTTCCCAGCCCCACTTGACCATCCAAGGTAAGAGCCCAAAGGATGCTCCTTCCCTGGCAGTCAAGGAGAAGCTGGGAGGACATGATGCTAGGGTTGCTTCTTTCCTAGGCCCAATTATGCACACACAGCAAGAAGAGCAAGAGTGATCTCTGAGGCCAGGTGTGCACAGTCACCGAAGAGGAAAGGACTGATTCTCATGCCTCCTTGTTCAAGCTGGATGTTACTAAGCCTGCCAACACTTTTCCCAGCTCCACTTTCGTAGCCTCTAGGAGCCATAATGACTCAGAGTCATGTGAAAAGTTTACACAGTAGTGCCTGTGCTGCTGCAACTTCTTTGATCCCTAGGATGACAGGGAACTGGAACTATGTCACCTACTCTCAAACAGTGTCTTCAGGTCAGAGGAGACCACCTCTTGTCACCAGAGCCCCCTGCACTCCTTGGCCTCTCCTCATCTACTTGGTTGTTATTCCTTTGAAAACCAGGTAAAAGCCCTCCTACCTCCTCAGTGCCTCCCACGAAGCCTTATATCTACCTAGGACTGTCTCCTCCCTTGATGGTTGAATTAGAGAGGGAAAAAAGTGAGTCTGGGAATGGTCTTTCCTAATGCATAAGCAGCACAAGTGACCCCAAGCCAGAAAATGAATATCCTGTTTGCATCTCACACTGCACTGTCTATACCAGGGGTTCTCAAAAGCAGACACTCCAGACCAGCAGCAGCAGCAGCAGCAACAATTCCTTGGAACATGTAAGAAAGGCAAATTATGGATCTCTACCTGAGACTACAGAAGCATGAGTCCCACAGGCGATGCTGACACACACTGAGGTATGAGAACTCTGACTCTATAAAGACAGTTTTAAATGCAGGACACCTGAGATCAATTAAGCTGAGGTCTGAGGTTTTGTATCTCTCAGCATCAAGGAAACTTTTTTTTTTTAAGTTTAAGCTCCTATAAAGAAAGTCTGAAGTTTTCCAGCATTTCTCCCAAAGAATAGAATTTTTGTTGATGTCTTCTACTAGTATAAGCAAAGAAAAATGGTAGAATTTCTCAGAAAGAAAGGTCAAGTTTACAATGAAATTAACAGCTTTTTTCTTGGACCCTGCTGCATTGTATATATGGATAGGGAAACAATTTTAACAAATGATAAATGTGGTCTGGCATAGTGGCTCACATCTGTAATCCCAGTTATTGAAGAGGCTGGGGTGGGAGGATCACTTGGTCCCAGGATTTGAGCCCAGCCTGGGCAATATAGTGAGATGCTGTCTCAATATTTTAAAAAATTGGCCAGGCTCAGTGACTCAGCCTGTAATCCCAGCACTTTAGGAGGCTGAGGTGAGTGGACTGCCTGAGCCTGCAGGTTCGAGACCAGCCCAGGCAACTTGGCAAGACCTCATCTCTACAATAAATAAAAAAATAGACCAGGCGTGGTAGCACACACCTGTAGTTCTGGCTACTTGGAAGGCTGAGGCAGAAGTATCGTCTGAGTCCAGCAGGTCAATACTAGGGTGGCCGTGAGCGTGCTAGCCACCACACTCCAGCCTGGGTGACAGAATGAGACTCCAACTCAAAAAAAAAAAAAATTCTTTAAATTGTTTCAAATTAAAAAAACCATGAATAGATTTTTCTGATAATAGTGCCTTTTTTTAGAACTTTATGATCCATCTTTCAACAGAAGCAGTAATTAAGTGTATACTATACCAAAATAAGAGGCATCTATTTGATAGTGGCAATGCCATTTAAGAAATAAAAAATAATAAATTATATTAAATAATATTTAGTATTGCTCATGGAATAAATAATTACTTAACTATAATAAAGGAAGGGCAAAGGAAGTATCCAAAAAATCAATAAACTTTCAGCTATAAGGATTTCAAAGGACTGAGGTTTACCTGGGATGTATGCTCTTGAAGTTGCTGAGATCACATTTGGTTCACAAGTCCTGCTTCCCACATACCTAACATTCCTGTGCCAGTCCTACTACTGGCTGATGAGTATTCAGAGAACACACTTTAGAAGGAAGATAAGTCTGCTAAGCCACTCTCTGTTTTCCACTGAGAACAATCACAGATAAATCTACAGTGCCAGGAAAGCTGGGGCGATAAATCCAGATGTGACACAGTTCCTGTTTGTGAGTTAAAAGGAGGCATGCTTCCTTAAGGGGCTTTATGAGAACCTGACCTTGATAGGATGTAATTTTATGTGGCTAAGAATTTTGATTCACGTTCCAAGTCCTCTGGAGATGTACTTAGAATGTTCTCAGAAATGAGGAGTTGCTTATTTAAAACTGGACTGTTTCATTTGGAAAATAAAGTGTTGTTCTTGCTAAAGGACTGAAATTCTTGAATAATGGATGTTAATTCCCTCTCAACTACGTTGGGGCTGATCAGTCTCTTCTGCTTGAAAGGCATCCTCCTGCCATTTCCTCCTGGTTCTCCTCATCATTATCTCCTGAAATCCTCCTTCTGCTCCCCAGATTCCACTTAATGTACATTGGGGACCTCCTCCCCAACCAGAACTTCTGTTGCCCCTTCTCACGACTCCATACTCATGGACCCCAGGACTTTACGCACCACCTCTGATGAATGCCCACAAACTCCTTCTTCTTTCTTCTTTCTCCTGGTTACATTTCAGGTCTCAGTCGCTCCCTCTACCTCAAGCTCTGTGTGTCCTAAATAGTTCCTGAGGGTCACTCCATGGTCTGATCAGTGCACCATCATTTGTCTCCTGAATACATTGGTCTTCTAGCTGGTCTTTCTCTAGCCAGTCTTCTCTACCTAAATCCAACCTTCACACAGCACTATAGCAATACGAAAGGATTTATCTAACGACCATGTGGCTGCATTCCTTCCCCTGACTACTTCGGAGGCCCACGAACCTAACAGTTTGTGAAGTGCTCTATGCTCCACACTTTAGAACTGGAGCCTTCTCTGGACTTCTTTCTTTCTTTCTTCTTTTTTTAAGAGACAGGATCTTGCTCTGTGGCCCAGGATGGAGGGCAATCACAGCTCACTGCAGCCCCAAACTCCTGGGCTCAAGCGATACTCCTGCCTTAGTCTCCAAGTGGCTGGGACTAAATGTGTGCCCCCATAGCCAGCACCTTCTTTCTTTTTATACCCAATTTGAA